TTTAACTCTAGTGACTAACTCTAGTTGCAGGAGTGGGACTGTGAAATGAGACACAAAAACTGCATATTTCTGAAAAGTGATTTTAACACAGAACAACAACACAAAACAGGCAACAAGTTTAGTGTGAGCACTGTGATTTCTTAAACGTGTGGTAAACATACAGGCTAAATTATTTTACGTCTGGGAGAAACAGACCTTTTCGCATGGGATGACACCAAAGAAATTTTTTCAGTGAATCACAAACCGCAGCCAAGAAACAATATCTCTCTACATTAACCGGTAATGATGGGAAAGAGACCGCCGCTCACACGAAGGTTTAAAATGTCTGCTCTTCTGCCATTATTTTGTGACTGTGTGTGACATAGAGGTCCTCTCAAACCTCCATAGTCATTTTTGTGGTAGCGGTTAAACTTAAAAAGCTACATGCAAGATCCTAGACGGTATGTTGTGTCCTGTGGGACAGTGCTTCCCGCTCTACACCCTTGCTAGATGCACATGTTGCCTAGATTACATCCCGATTACAGCTATTGAACAAAAGATATGACATAAGGTCTTAAAGTGTAACAGTCTTTGCAATTAAACAAAATTCACGTGGGATGAATTCATTGATTTCATCCTCTTGGTGTAAATTCTGACTACAGCAAAAGAGTGATTGCTTGCAGAAATGAATATTCCTTTAAGTGATCCCTATTGGAAGATTGTCAGCACAAACACTGGCTGTGAGATAAGTAAATATGTGTGAAACATCTGCTCTATCTGCATTCAGATCTCTCCGTTTGCTCTCATTCCCCTCGATCAGCTAATTTGATTCCTCCCAACTCATCTTCATCAACTGTAGTTGCCATAGAGCCAACAACAAAGACAAGCGTAATAGGATTTTTCCCTCTCAGCACAAAGAGGAATAGCAGATGTTGTCCACACAGTCCCACACTACGCTTAAACAACTATTCATAGCCGTAAGATGATAAAAAAAAAAAACATAAAAGGATCAACCTAATTCTATAAAAGGACAAATTGAGCAAGAATTGCAGGCTATGAGCAATCTTCTTGTTTAATTACCAGCTATCAGCGTTTCGGGTCGTCTAGTCCCACTCGGAGCTGCAGCCAGCCCCCTCATTTCCATCTAAGTCTAACTGTCAGAGATCTGTGCGAGGTGTACAGGACAAACAGTGCAGAGGCATCCTGCCGAGAATCCATTCACTAGACTGCCCTGTGACTCATTACCAGCATAAAGGAAGAAAATCATGGGGTACATTTACAATCTGTCTCCTATAAATGGAAGACCGGGGTTAGTTGTCACATGGAGATGCTGTCACAAGGGTTTTATCTATGAGGTTTTAAAAAAAATATGCAATTGTTTTGTTTTGTTTCGTTTCAAACACCTTACATACTTAAATCTGAACAATTTCTCCAATGTCATCACATTTTGGTGAAAAAAAAAAAAAATCAAGTGAACTAAATTTCAGGGGAAAGACAGTTATATAACAAAGATAGATTTTTAACCAAAAAGAGAACTGCATTTTCAAAACAAGGACATTTTTCATAAATTTCAAGTCAGACATTTTGTTACATTTTGTTAAGTTGACAAATGTTGTAATTTGTATAAAGTATAAAAAAATACTTTTTATGTTTCACAAATTTTATGAATTTTTCATTATTGTTTTACTATTTAAATTTAAATATACCATTTTTTTCTTTGCAATAATGTTCCGCAGCTTTTTCTAAGACTTTTAAAATTTACCTACACAGAAACTATCTTCCAAAAATGTGAGAAATATTCACATAAATGTAAAAAAAAAAAAAATGGTTTGCAATGTCAAAAGTGTGACAATAGCCCCTACATCAGAGGACTCTTCAAGGGCTCCAACCCTTATCAAACACACCTAAACTAGCTTTCAGGTGTTCAAAGTATAACAGGTAAGTGTGTTGGAGCAGGATTGAAACTGAATAATATAAGGTAGCCCTCTAGGAACAAGGTTGGATACCCCTCCCCTAGATCTATCAGAAAGTCTACAGTGGAACGATTTTTTTTTTTAACAAAATAAAAAAAAAAATTGATGATGGGTTCAAAAATCATAGTACTCTTTTAAGAGGTTTGATTTTTTTTTTGGACGGTCGTGGCCTAATGGTTAGAGTCAGACTGATTTTGATTCCTAACCCCCAATCGCTCTCTGGGCGCCACAGCGAAAATGGCTGCACACTGTTCGGGGTGTGTGTGTGTCCATGGTCTTTTAGGCAAAACATTACTATGAAGCAGGATTGAAACAATACCCTAGCCGTTAAATTTGGTTAAACACAATATTGACATAGATATGGTCGCCCTGATGGCTGGTATGTCTGGGTGGGACTCCATCACTCTGCAGGCGGATGGGGGGCATGGAGTCTGCAGGGCTAGATTTAGACCCTTCTCGTGTCAGTGATAACACTTCTGGTTTCCCCTGTTGGCTGCATGTTTACTTAACTCAGGGGTGCTCCACAGCAAGAGCCCCAACCCTCCACGTGGGGGGCAACTGAGACGGCGCAAGATCTGAGGATGACCTGACACCTCTTGTAAATGGAACGTCCTTCATTACAGTCAAATGATAATCGAAAGGGTTAATGAGCTTTAATCCAAAACTACTTAATGAATATTCCTATTCTGAGGCTTTGAAATGCTCTATGTGAGTAATGAGGTTCTAACAGTTTAAGATGATCTTTTTTTAAACAAATTAATTCTTAAAGATACAATGGATGTTAAATGTCACTGCCGACCCACTTCAGTACAATCACTTCATTTCTCATGAGATCTGCACCGTAAAAACACGGTACTGTTTCTATGCAAACTAAACCAGCATATTACCATCGCAAAGCAAATCCATCTGCTATAATTCAAAAACACATCGCCGGTCTATAAACCAAAGAACTGAATACACCAATGCCTTAAACTAATTTGACAGCTTCCTTAAAATATGTATATAAACGAATATGTGTGCATGAAATGCTGAGAATGCAATATTTTTGAGTGGACTAGTTAAAGATTACACTGGATGTTGTGGCCCAAACTGTTTATGAGACAATTTGGATTCATTTACATGCAATAAAAGCATTCATGTGGGAAAAAGGTTGAATATGTTGTTAAAAAATTAGATTATAGGGAAAGAAAAGTAAGCTAATTCATAATTACAACACGCTTTGTTTTGTTTTGATCTTCCCCTCAGATGTTGCCCAAGAGTTTAGATACTGAGTTTTGTAGACACATATAAATACAGGGCTGCTGTTGTGATGAGGCTTTAGAATTGAAGTGAAAACCATAAAACTTTCTACTTCCATCTCTTGTTATCCACTAGCCAACTGGGAATGTGCCTGCAGAATCTCAGGGTGGGTGTGAACTCTCCCACCGGTGGCACCTTGTAAAATGACATCTGCATTCACCTCCGGGCTTTTGAAGAAAGGAAAGCCGAGCACTCAAAGACTTTAAAGGCATTAAAAAGTTTGTTTAAACACACAGTAACGAAAACTTAGAATGACTGCAAGATAATAGAGACAAACATTTAAACGCTATAAAACAATATCCAATGATATTTTTCCTCCCCATCTCAAATCCTTTCCACATTTACTCAAAGATAAGCTAAAAGGTCTCGAGATTTAAGCAGAAAGCCACAAAATAGTCAGTCTGGCATACAAACGTAACTGCCCCATCACTTATTAAAGTAATTGACTGAGAGTGATTAAATGCGTGCCAACACTTGTACCACTTGTGACCAGGCACACACGGGCCACTGAGCAGAAGATTTGACCCGGTGAGCTGAGTCCTATTACACGAGACCTCAGCCCTCTCCTCTGGAGCTTCGTTACGGGACAAAAGTCTAGCACAGCACAGCTATATCCCTGGAAACTGAGAACACATCTGTGTCCTGTTATAAACACTTATGCACCCCCCTCCTCATCCACGTCACCCCACTCTGATTTAACTGGAAGGCTTGGTGGAAAATTCTGGCCCAATATAAAACTAATTGTTTGCTCCCACTTTCTCTATTTCCTCTTAAAAGCAAGATGGAACAATAACACTGATTTATTTATTTTAATTACATTTTGCATGACTATTTGATTGCTTCGCCAATGCAAGGGATGCAATTTATCAATTTACAAAACCGATATATATGAACATAAGCTGTGAATCTGTATTCATGCAAATTGGGCTATTTCAGTCTACAGAACTTAAGAGTTTACCGTGACTAAAAGCAAACAGATGCAGACCTTTGGATTCCCTGTGAATAATTTGGTGGTTTCTGTGGCTGAATTTGGGAAAATAAAGAAATGCACGGTAATGAATGTAAACAGATAAAGACTTGAGAATTGTAAAGTTCAAAGACATCGCCAATCATGGATGTTATTTAAAAATACATTAAGAAATACAATGCATACAAATTATATAAATTCTAGCCATCTGAGGTGAATGTTTTTAGATTATGATTTTTTTTTTTTTTTTTTTTTTTTTTGTGGGGCCAAAAATGTCTAGACAGTGTAATGCAGAAGCTGTAAAAAGTCTATTGAAAGCTCCAATTCTTAAAAAAAGGTTAGTCATAATTAGTTTGAATGGCTTATTGTTATTTAAAAATAAGCATGCAAAGCAATACTGTTTTAAATAATATTAAATAAAAGAACATGTAAATAAATCTAACTCAATCTGTAAAAAGATTAAAAGCACTTTGTTGTTAAATCAAAATGTGCCTGACAATATTATAAATGTTTTTACATTTCTAAGAACTTGGCATGTTTTGAACTTTTTTTTTTTTTTTTTTTTTTTATAAATGTATGCTCACATCTTGGCCCACAGTTTTTGTATTCACAAACTCCAAATATTAAATAAATCATGAATAAAAAAAAATCTGTTCCATAGAAAAAATAAAATTTGGTGCCAGGATATCTGTAGTGCCAAAAGCTGACAAATCATCGTGGGAACACCCACTTTCTCCTTTTGAAGGTAGGGGGGTCGGAGAGGGTGTCTGGACTAGAGGCTGTGCGCAAATTAAACTCAGAAACGCAGTTGCTGCTGTCACAGTTGCTCCTGGATTCTACATCGTCCGGATCTCTTCTTCAAACATGGATGTGAAAGTGATCGTAGTATTCGCTCTGATGGCGGTCGTCATTCATGCACCGGTTTCAAATGGTGAGTTATTGTTCAATAGATATTGGCTACTTTGCAAATGTTTTCATTATTTTTGCATTGTGCATAAAGCTTAGCTGCATGTTTGTCACACAATTTTGCGACTATGCAATTCCGTTCATAAAAACAGTCGATGCAACTATTGCAACAAAACATATTTACAGTTTTTACGGTTTATAACCTGCACATTTATAAGAAACGGCGCGTAGCCTATTTCAATGCATTTACATTTACAGTGTAAATTAAATGTAAAACGTTATTTTTATTAGGCTGTCATGCCTTTTTTTACATAATAAAAAAACAACGTAAGTTATTTGGTTTGATATTTCAAACTTCATAAACGCACGTGATTTTTTTCCAAATATTGGAAGTAACAGACTTGGCGCACGCGGACGGGAGAGCAGAGGGGCTCTGGCACGGCGTTGATTAATGTGTGTATTTGTCGCCCTCTTTGTTTTCTCTTAATTACTCACAAATTAGAGGATAAAACAGCGCCGCAGAGATAGCGCCAGTCTTTACTTCAATCGAGCCAGTGCGCGCGGCTCTAACGCTGGATTGCGCGTTTGCATCACAATGAAAATAGATTACTAGAGATGTCATTAGCATTTTACAAGTGGACGAACTTGGATAGAGCTTCGTTAAGTCGCAGGTAATTTACACCTCTGGGCTCTTGTGAGTGGGCAATGTCCGTTAAAGGATTTGCGTACGTGCGCCGTGCCGTCTTCTCCTACAATGTAAAGCTGCTCGAGCTGTTAAGTCTCTGCTTCCTTGAGCGAGTAACAGGTCTGAGCCAAATGGAACAATAATCCCATCGCTGTTATACAAATCACTGACTTTAATGTGCAAGAACGTGAAGGCTATTAAAACAGCGGCCAAGTATTTGCGTGCATGCGCGTTACAATTCATACAGCAATGCCCACTTTAATACTTTTTTTTAATGAACTAAAATATAGGTTACACCATGATTGCACAAAACATTTATCATCAAATCTATTCACTTGAAGTGCTTTATAAATGCACCAATAATGTTATATTTCAAAAGCATATTAATTCATTGAGTGCAACATTCAATATAGCCCTGTAATATAGGCCTGATATAAATATGCACTGCTAAAAAATTATAAAACGAATCTTTTAGTTTTCATAGAAAAGCCAATACATGCACCCTCAGTCTGAAAATTGTGCTGGTTGTTATTAGAGAGTGTTGCAATAGTGAATTGGAGGCTAGAGCATGATTACATAATGGATTTAGAAAATTAAACCAAAGTTTCGTTTTTAGTCAAGGACGCCGTTTGCTTTTACTAAGCACATCTGTGGTGTGAGCTCAGGATTGAAACGCAAGGCAGAAAGTGATTTGCATTTGTTTCCTTTTTCATCAAACATAATTATTCATCATGATTTCATCCAACGCTCACATGCACCGAATTACAAGAATCGTGGCAACAGCTGAATTGAGTTTCTCATCCCTTATTCTCTTAATTCTTCTCCAGCCAAGCCCATCAGCCTGGTAGAGAGATGTTGGTGCCGTTCCACAGTCAACACAGTCCCACAAAGAAGCATTCGCGAGCTCAAGTTCCTCCACACACCCAACTGCCCCTTCCAAGTCATGTGAGTATCTACTCTAAACTCTCTCTTTCCTACTCGCTCAGCAGCTCTGCATGACCCAGAAACACATCACTTCACCCCATCAATCTCTAAATACTGAAGGGATGCTGAATGGGCCAGGAATTGGCCTCCCCTGTCTGGCATTATACCGTTGGACAGGCTCTCACAATTGCACACATCCAGGGGGAAATGCTATAGAAGGGGGTAAGACCTTTAAGCATGGATGCATTGGTATTTTGTACAGGAAAACAGCATCATAGGGGTCCCAAAGAGTTCCTCTTCAAGCTCTTTCTCACACATGTAAAGGGCTTGAATGACATGCTTAGTCACACACCACAGCCTTGCACGCTGATGAGAACTATCCTCCTTGCATGTTTTCACCTCCGTTGAGTGAAGTGTTCAAAATAGCTGCTTTATTTGGATTTTTTAACAAGATTAATGGCAGTGGCTTGTCAAACTCCATTACAAATGTCACTTATTTTTCCATACCATAAATGCTCGCCAAGACATAAACAAAGACTTAAACAGTGTCAAAGGGTCAGCGAGATAAAAACAGCTGGTTAGACTCAAAAATCACAAGCCGACAAACGATTGCCACAAAAGCCATTGGCGAAACCCTGGAGAGCAGATCAGAACCTGAATCCCAAAGCTCAAGAGCCCTTGATACTTCAAATCTGCATTGATGAGTGATGCTGGTAACACTATCTACCAGTGTTTGCTGTTGGCCTTGGCTTGCTGTGAGGTAATTACTACCTGCTGTTCGCAGTCCAGACCCTCTCCAACTCCCGCTGACTAGATCGAGATATACCAACAAATGCCGGGCCCTGATAAGCTGCAGCTACTTCAAAAGAGTGAGCTAACCAAATTAGAGGGGATCTGTGAATTGAAGATAAGAACTGATTACTTTAATGATACCGATATGTTGATAGTGGACTCATACTTTAAAGCTAATCTTGTCTCAGATGAATGTTCTTATCCTCATCAACTTAAAAGTATTTACATTATGTAGTAAGAAGAGTAATATCTGCACACAGATTCAAAAACATAAATAATTCTTCATAAACTGGTGCCCGGTGAAGACCTGATGGTCAAAACGTTGCACTGTTACTTCTGTGATTGTCATCTTTTTGTCCTGCGTCTGAACCCAATTAAGGTTTGGGATGCGCACACCTTTTTTTCTTACTTTATATTATGTAGTGCGGTGGCTCCTTAAGGAATGTGTACTCACAGGATTATGAGAACAACTCACATTCAGCTCGGTTCAGCAAACCATTTGTGTGAGTGTGTGTGTCACATCCAAATCATCACATGAACTATAATGTATGCCAGAAACCCTGGGTTTAAAGAACTTTTCATAGTAAGCATTTATAGTATCAACACACGCATCCAAAGAAGACAGACATGTATACAAAACTTTTTTTTTCAAAAAAATTTAACAAAAACAAGATGCTAATAATAGTAATTATTACTATTATTAATACATTCATCCATATCAATTATCTAAAAAGTTTAAATCATTTATTTGATAAATTAATTCCAATTATTAATACAAACACAATATTATACTTAACACTTTACAATAAGGTCTCATTTGTTAACATAAGTTAATGAAAAAAACTGTAAAAAAATATGTATTACAACATTTTTTATTTTTTATTTTGTCAAATCAACTTAAATAATTTATGTGGTTCAGATAACATGATATTTTGAGTTTCTGATAAATAAATAAATCTCATTTATTGTATTAACTCAATTTTTCCATTTCAATGAACTTAAATTTTTAAGGCAACCAGGTTACTTCATTTTTTAAGTTAAACCAATATTTTTTACAGTGTGTATTTGTTCATCTTTGTTAACATTAGTTATTAAAAATACAGCTGTTCATTGTTTGTTCATGTTAGATCACAGTGCATTAACTAATGTTAAACAAATTCGACTTTAGATTTGAATTATGTATTAGTTAGTAAATTAACATTAACAATGATTAATAAATGCTGTAGAAGTGCAGTTTATTATTAATTCAGGTTAACTAACTAATGTTAACTAATGACATTCTATTGTAAGTGTTACCAAAAAATGTTGGTTGTTAAAATTTTAAAAATGGTATTTTAACCTGATTCATTTTTACTTTACATTGGAAAGAGTTTAATGATTTGTTTTTGTCAGTTGTAGACAATTTGAAAACAAATGGTTCACCTGTGCTGACAAGACACCTATAGTTTAATCTTTTTGCTGAGAGCTACAAGGAAGATTGTGATCTGACAATCTGTTAAGACCTGTTGGGAAATAGGGAATGCAGATGCAGGAAAAGAATACCTAGGGTGATGAGAGAGTGCAGTGTAATATCACTTACTAGAGAGAGGAGTGACTGAGAACCAACTGCTTGGCTGAGCTTGAATGCACAACTGTTCTGCCATTGTATGGCTGATGCTGACTACGGGGTTTCCTTTGTATTGCATTCAAAATCTGCTCACAATGGGCTCTTGGAGCTTTATACTTAGCTATGATTGCTTGCTTATACTGCAATTTGAATGTCTAAAAAGTTCAAATTTCAGCACCGTGATTCAAAAAAGATATAATGAAAACTAACACTTTTCACCTGCAGTGCCAAACTGAAGAGCAACAAGGAAGTGTGCATTAACCCAGAGACCAAGTGGCTGCAACAGTACCTGAAGAACGCCCTAAACAAGTAAGGAAACCTTCTTGACAAACAGGAGCTGAGAAATGGGAGAAACAGGAGAGGCAATACAGGGAGACAATGTTTAATTTGTTTGAGTAAACTGACTCTGCAAGGCTATTCATATTGCATTTGTGGTTCACAAATGCAATATAAATAGCCTTGCAGAGTCAATTACAATTAACCAAATTAGACTTTTAGACAAATTTTAATTAGTCACCCAAAAGTCACCCACACTTTAAAATACTGGTCTTTCTTGTTTCTCACACATCTCTAAATGGTTTGTTTCTCAGATTTCTTTTGAATGTTTTTGTCAAGTTATAGTGCTCTGAAATATTTATCTGAAGTTGATGTGCAAGATTAGCAGCTACTGCAGAGCTAATGAAAAACATGTCCAGGCTTTTGCGGCCTTGCCTTAATAGTTCCTCCGCTGATTGTTATCGTGAATGTCCAAACAAAGTAAAACAAGCTTTTGTTGCACTGAATTCATGAGAAGAAGGAAACTTCCCACATTTGATCATGAGCTTGATGTATTAGATCATGGGACTGGTTGCCATCATCTTTCATTTCACTGCTAGCTGGAATATTGAATTTGAGAGGAGGTGGGTGAATATAAAGCGTATGGAAGTATGGCAAACCAGTAGGCGCTGCCTTCATTGGTGTTGTTCTGCCTCTTAAACAAAAAGCATCGTCTAAAGAGGTAGAAAAGTGTGAACTGTCCGGTCTGCACAACAAAACATTAGTAGCTAGAGACGAACGATGGCTCCTTGAGGGCTGAACACCCATGAATGGTCTCTGGACGCTAATGAGCACATACTGTGCGGTCTTTAGTACAGCTCAATAAGTGAAAAAGGAAGTTGTACATCTGCAGGTAGTGAGGGAGGTTTCTGCCATCTGCAACACCTCTGGTCAATGAGCTACAAAACAGCTCAGACATTACGGTCATGTGACTTACTTTAAAAATGTAATTTAAAAAAAATTGAGATACATTAAAACACTTATCAAACCTAATATTTTGAGACTGTAGGTACTGGAAGCCTTCTTTATAAGTTTATTTACTTAAAGGGTTAGTTCACCCAAAAATGAAAATTAAGTCATTAATTACTCACCCCCATGCTGTACCAACCCCGTAAGACCTTCGTTCATCTTCAGAACACAAATGAAGATATTTTTGATTAAATTTGAGAGCTGTATCACTACCACATTAGAGAGACTTCCTTAGATTTCCACGACGCATGCGCGAGAATTGCGATCTCCTTCAACTAGTTCAGTTCAGTTCTCACTCATGCGTCGTGGAAATCTAAGGAAGTCTCGTTTCAGGCCAACAAGGAAGAAAAGGAATAGTCGAATAAAGTCGTTATTTTTGTTTGTTTTTTCGCACAAAATATATTCTCGTGGCTTGATAAACTTATAGTTGAGCCACTGTAGTCACATGGAATATTTAAACATTTTCTTCATTGACTTTCTGGGCCGTCAAGAGCCAGTCTCTTAGGCAGCCAATGTGGTAGTTATACAGCTCTCAAATTTAATCAAAAATATCTTCATTTGTGTTCCGAAGATAAACGAAGGTCTTACGGGGTTGGTACAGCATGGGGGTGAGCAATTAATGACTTAATTTTCATTTTTGGGTGAACTAACCCTTTAATAATTTTCAGGCAATCTCACCCCCATGCTGTACCAACCCCGTAAGACCTTCGTTCGTCTTCGGAACACAAATGAAGATATTTTTGATTAAATTTGAGAGGTGGATCACTGCTACATAAGCACCCTAATGGATCGAAACTTGACGGCCCAGAAAGTCAATGAAGAAAAGGTTTATGTGACTACAGTGGCTCAACTATAAGTTTATCAAGCGACACAAATACTTTTTGTGTGAAAAAACAAACAAAAATAACGACTTTATTCGACTATTCCTTTTCTTCCTTCTGGGCCTGAGACGAGAGTCCAAGAGATTTCCACGACGCATGCGCGAGAATCGAACTGAAGTAGAGTTGAAGAAGATCGCAATTCTTGCACATGCATCATGGAAATCTCTTGAACCTACATCTCAGGCCTACAAGGAAGAAAAGGAGTAATAGAATAAAATCGTTATTTTTGTTTGTTTTTCCGCACAAAAAGTATTCTTGTCGCTTGATAAACTTATAGTTGAGCCCCTGTTGTCACATGGATTATTTAAACATTTTTTCATTGACTTTCTGGGCTGTCAAGTTTCAATCCCTTAGGGTGCCTATGTAGCAGTGATCCACCTCTCAAATTTAATCCTCTCAAATTTAATCAAAAATATCTTCGTTTGTGTGCCGAAGACGAATGAAGGTCTTATGGGGTTGGTACAGCATGGGGGTGAGTAATTAATGACTTAATTTTAATTTTTGGGTGAACTAACCCTTTAAGTTAAGTAAATAAACTTCATGCGTAATTGAAAAAATTAAGTTGTGGAATTCAAATAACTTACATTTTTCAATCGCATGAAGTTTATTTACTTAATAATTTTAAGACAACAGGTTTCCTCACATTTTAAGTTAAGTCAAAGGATCACTTTTTCCATTTCTATAGTAAAAAATTCAAAAATTCACTTCAGCTTCAGCCCAATTAAAACTAACAGCATGTAGTTACTTATAGAAACTGCCTATAAAAAGTGCAGACATGTCTGTTACATTCTTGCCAGACGCATAGGTTTATTGTTTTAATCACTGTGGAGATAAAGACTATTTAAAAATGTCCTGCTACTATTCACGAGTCAGTTAAAATAAACGTAATCAAATAAGTTCAATGATTGTGTGTGACTTGTCATATTGTAACATTTTGAGTCTCTTCATTTCAGAATGAAAAAGGCTCAACAACAGTCGAACTAAGAAGTCTGGCAGATGACCCGGGAATCTGACAGCCCACCGTCACAGATATGTACCATATAGTCCTCTGGCATGCTTGCTGATCCAGCACTTAACCAGCCAAAAATGCATCCCCAGTAAATGACTCAGCAAAAGACCACCAGTCCATCATCACCACCCATGTAGTCTCCTCTGTTAGCGCCAAGTGCAATTATATATGTATGACTGTGTTTTCTTTTTTACGTATGATATGTATATACAATGTTTTTTTTATATCGTCTTAAAAACAGTAAAGAGATATTTTTGGAGTCGTGTTTGCTCCTTTGTTTGTTGTGTTATGTTGGGTTAGGCAGAACAGCATTGAGATAATGAGGTATTTTGGAGCAAACATTCAAAACTCTGAATATATATTTTAATCTTAGATGCAAAACAATATGTGACTTCACATTAGCAGGAATGAAGTTCTGAAAATTCATATGCATGCAAGTTCTTTAACAAAAAACAAGAAGGGCATTGATTTTTACCTTGATTTTTGTTATATATTTACATAGTTCATAATTTAGATATCTGTAGCAGCATAAACTGCTTGTAAACTTTATATTCGGAAACTGGAAGGCATTCGTGGGCCAATAGAGAGTCTTTTGCAATGTTCTGTTGGTACAAAAACATATATTTCCTTAATTGACCAATCTGAGTGTGCGTAAATCACTCAGCAGAATTATGACATTAGAGAGAGTTGTGCTTCAAAACAAAGTTGTACATCAATTAACAAAGAAAAAAGAGGTTGGAGAATTTACAGCCAAGTACCGAAAAATGTTAGGCATGACCTTTTAAAAAAGCAGTGTTAGTGGAACATCTGAGGTAGACCTTGAAACAGAACTAATTGACATAATTACTACCTATATATAGATATATAACAATGCACTTTATAATCCCTTGTGACATTTATGGGAAAAAATCTGATTGATGATGTCCACTACATAATGAATAGTTCTAGAGCCTAAAGTTTTCTGTGTTTAGACATAGTTATGACTGTATTGCCAAATTGATTAAACATTTGTATCTTCAGCATCAGATTTTATTATTTTGAGTGGGTTTGTTTTTAAATATTTTGTGGATTATTTCACATCTACGTTTAGGAAACAGTCAGATTATTCATTTGAACTTTAACAATAGCTGAATAACTGACATGTACATCCCACTTTTCATGTAAATACATTTTTAAAAATCTAGCTAGCATGATTTGTGATTTGATATCTGACTTTTGAAATAGAGGCACAAAAATATTTCCCGAAAGCACATCTCAAAATCCTATCAACATTAGGGATGCACCGATATAACATTTTTATGAAACTTTTTACCAATAACCATTTGTATTTAAAAGCTGAACCGATTTATTGGCCGATAAATCTAAATCCACATTTTTTGATAATGTAATAATGTTCTCATTAGAATTTTATGACAGACTTGCGCTGCACTTAAACTTATTTTCGATTACGATAATATTATACAGATATGGTGGTTGATAGCTTGCATCCCCAATTTTGAACACAACTGTTTGGTCTAGGAATACACATAACGTGAACACCACACAATTAGCAAAGTATGTCAATGCCTTGTGCCTCTCCAATGAAAATTAGAGTATGGAATTTGTCTGTTACTACTGCCAATTTCATAATGTTGAGCAGTAAAAAGCACCAGGCCTCATTTACAAACACAACCCCGGGGCACAAAATCTATAAGGAAACTTAATGCCTACTCTGTGCTTCCACTGGAGCCTGTGTGCTGGGCAAAGGGTTAGAGCCCCACGCTAGAAAGCTGCATTCCTATCAACATGGAGGGGAAAGATATCTTGCAAAAATATAAAAAAAATAAAATAAAAAAAAAGATATTTCTGAATGTGTTTTTTTTTTCTTTTAAAAAACATGCCCCAATGTAGTGATGGCATTAAATTTTTCTTAAACATTCCATCAAGTTGTCTATTTTCAACACTGTATAGTTAACTGTAGCATATCCTGTCCTTCCATTCTTTTTCCCACTTAATGTGAAGATTACTTCTATGTATATGGCAGCTTATGACAGCATAAAGCACATCTGTTGTTATTTCTTTTGTGAGTCTGTACATTGGTTTGAGTTAGTCCCTAAGTGTTTCTTTTGAAATAAATCATTATGAAGAATTCTGTATGACGTTTTACTAATGGATGCATATGAACATCAGTCATGTCACCTGTGATTTGGTTCACACCAAGAGAAAAGGGGTAACCTTCCACCTATATTTCTCCAACCATTAGAATCTAGATGTTAAATGAGGAAAGGGGAAATTAAGATTTCAAATAGGGGTCAAGAATTGCAGGCAGACTCAAAAATCACACCTTGGTTTCACACAGCTCTTATAAGTAATCCTGGGAGCACTTTTGAGATTTACATGAGACACCGAACGACTTGTCCATACATCCAACGAGTTTTAGTGTAAAATCAAATATTTGCCTTGTACATTTTATAAGCCGTCATATTCAATTTCCCTTAAAAATAGAAAAAGAAACCCAATAAAACCCTTACTCTCAGAAGAAATAATCTCTTGCACAGCAGGGAAAATGCAGTCATATTACAGCTTCATATAGCTGTCAAAATCAATATTCGCAATAAGGGCAAAGTAAATTAATAATATTGCCAGTCATATAATCTGCTACAGAGCTGTTATGAAACACGTATACTCTGAAAGGTGCAAAAGAGATTAAATAACATTTATATTATAGATACTGATTCAAAACAGAAATTGAACTGATGATCCTAGCATGCTATAAAAGGACATCTTGTACTACATACATTATGCCATTTGCATAAAATGTAAAGCTTATAAGGTCAGATTTGTTTAATATGTCTAATACCTTCTAAACAGATACTTTGACATAAATATATAGATATATACAATAGATATATGGGCCAACAATAATTTCGAAAAGACAAATGGGATGCAAAACTAAACAATATATGCACAATGTGATATGAAAACTGTAGAATGATAAATTACCAAAAATGACAAGAGATAACATAATTCAGAATGAAAAACTTTTTTTTTTCTTATCCTTTTAACAACTAAAAGCTTTATGGACAATTAGAAGTTTAAGTTCAACGCAACTTCTGACATCAATCTCACTAAAGCCACAGGGAGACACTTAAAGGCTAATTTGATGCTTCTAAGGCCCCGTCCACACTAAAAATGGAGAATTAAAACAAATACGATCTCCGCCCACACCAGCATTTTATCTGCGTATTGGAACTGATCTCTGTCCACATTAAAATGACTGAAAACGTGGATCACGTGACCATTCACCAACACTGGGCATGCGCGTGCCGGCTGACAAATCAGGGAAGGACACGTCATGACTGATGACACCCAATCATAGAGCCGAGCGTGAGCCTCTGCGCCAGCGTTTCTAAAGTCCTCCGTTTTGTCCCGTCTTCACTAAAACGCCCTCCGGAGATTCAAAACGCAAAATGAAGCTGCAGCATTTCTAAACATAGCAAAAGGTTTCTGTTTTTAAACGAAAAAGCAGTAGAGTGGACAGGGCCTTAAAGGTCATAATAGTTGAAGTCTCTAGATTAGCTGATAGATTCAGCAATAATTCTTTGAATTAAAGGAAAAGTTTTAAATTGAATACAGGAACTCAAGTTTGCCTGAGCAACTCCGAGTAAGAATAATACACCAAGCTATTTCGAACTAGCATAAAAATGAGGACACTTAGGCCGCATTTAGACTGCCGGATACCCAGTTCCATTTGTTGACAATCAGCTTACATCTTTTAAATGTGATTTATTTGTGAAATCTGCATTTACAAAACACACTTGGCAAAACAACCAAAGGTAGACGTACTAACCCAGAAAAGCTTAGGCTGAAAAAGAAGCAAAAGCGGTGCGATCTGCAATGAAAAGCAGACAAAATGATAATACAAGACTTTGCTTTGCCCACCATCTTTAAAAGTCAGCAAAACATTAAGTTGAGCCTTCGTCCCTCATTGCGCCATTGAAAAAATTAATGTGATCACGGTTGGTGTCCATCTGAGTTGACTTCATTCGGCAGAATCGACACCGTGGTTTCAATGAAACGACTAGCATTGTCAGGGGAATATACAATCTGTCCACTTACATGGTAGATGCACATCCGATTCATATCAGATTTATTTCCAAATATGAAAGAGGCCTGAAACTGATCTGAGAGTATTGGAATCCATGAGCTTTTTTCCTCTTTACGTTCACTGTTAGAATTATTATTTTTTTATTATTTTTTTTAGTGCAATAAACTTGGATGTTTAAGTCATTTGAACTTACTGGTACATTACATTAAACTGACTTAAAAAAAATGTTGAATCTTGTATATAACTAATAAAAAACCTATTTTGATGTGTTAAAGCAATTGTCATAACTTACATAATCATACCATTTTATACACAAATGGATCCATGTAATGTAAAAGCGGCCTTACAGTTAAAATTGCTAAAATTGACTTCTTGATGAAATCACATGCAAAAATGCATAGAAATCCTTCACAGAAGCTAAAATAATTATTAAACCAACAGAAAAGTCAATACGTGTTCATTAATTCCTAAAACTTGCATGTATAGTGAAAGTGATTGATTTAAGATTATTGATCAAGTTGTCGTTGGGTGGTGAACATATTTATGTCAGATCTACAGTCTAAAGTTATTGTGTAAATCTGTTTGAGGATGCCTCATTTTACAGCCTATCATTAACTACGTGGAATGAGTTACAGTATTCAAAGAGGAAGCTACAAGATAACATCAACCAGATCAGTGGTTTGTGTGTTGCTGTGAAGACAGATAAGATGAATTCGAGTGTCAGTTTAACTACACCGCAGGGGGTAAAGAATGTACTTCAAAAGGTGATAAAATAATATGGTAAAGAAAAAGTTATATATATATATATATATATATATATGAATATATATTCAGTGTCAATATTTTGTTTAATCACTGTTTGCAGTAATAACCATTTAACTTTCATTTTCAATTAAATCTTTTGATGCTTGAATTGTGCCATTTAATACTCTCGTTACTGATATACTTAAAAATAATAGATAAAATTTCACTTTTTAAAACTGCTATTGTTCCACTACACTTACTTTAATATTTGTTTAACACAGCAGTCAAAAGATTGGCACATTTAGGATGGCAAAACCACTGATTAAGTCCCAAGAGAACAAAAAAAAATCTGTCACTCCGAACATAAGTTAGCATTTGAATGTGCAAAACAAGTCCTGTGAAACAATAACAAAAAGCTGTCAAAAATATGTTTAAAACTGAAAAATGGAATGTCTCACATGTACATGAAGCATAAATGTATAATAATTCCACATGGCATTAGGAGTCAGCAACAGTTTGTCAAATCTCAAGTCAACATTTTATAATCTATTTCATTACATTTCTAGAGAAAAGGCGACGGCACAAATACTAACATGCATCATGTCTGAAATATTCGTTAAAAAGCTTTTACCGCCATCTAAACATTTGTACTCTATTTAGAGGAAGGAAATACGTTATACAAGTTCAAAGAAACAAAGAAGTGTGTCTGTTTTACATAGTCATCATCAAGCTAGCTTTGCTAATTTCCAGTTCCTGTCACTTGACCTCACAAAACAAGCAGTTAAGGTTCTACAGTAACATGTAATATAATCGATAATATGTTTTGTATCATTCCTGAAAGAAATTAAAACGAATTTGAGCATGCGCTTGAATTATTACAAAAAATTAGCATGGTAAAAATGATTCACATCAGTGATAGTTCACAGCGGTTAATTCTCATATGGTTTCTGCATAAACCCCAGCGTTACATTTTGTCTAATCTTTCAAATAGTTTGAAAACCCTTCTAATTCGTTCCCCAGAGGACAAACGGCAAGGGCTACTGCACTTTCTCATCACAATCTCTCTGAAGTTGTACGACGTGGCCTATGGCCATTTAACTTACTCCATATCATTGCCTTATTGCAAGCATGTGCTCAAATACTTACACAAGGTTGTGTGACAACCACTTAGTCACAATCCACGAGGGAATCGCTGAGCATTGGCGAGCACTTATTGTTTCAGTATCTGATGACCCTTTATGATACAGCATGCAAACGCTTCGCTGAAAAGGGGCAATAATGGTTCCGGAATGGCTCCATTTGAAACTTTTCCTGATTGTACATAGCTGAAAGCCCATTTAATGCCTTTAATTGTGCTCACACTGGATAGAACCTATGAGACATAAATCAATTCTAGAAGGAAACAATTCTGCTGAATTTCTCCAGGGAAGAGCGACGACTGAACAGTGTTCTTGTACATAACATCTGCAGTCCCTTCACTCTCAGAAAAAAAAAAGGTACAAAAGCTGTCACTGGGGCTGTACCTTTTCAAAAGGTAAACTTTTAGGTGCTAATATGTACATTTTAAGTAATATGTCAAATTTAGTTGCTAATATGTACATTTTAGGTGTTAATATGTACATTTTAGATGCTAATAAGTACATTTTAGGTGTTAATATGTACATTTTACGTGCCAATATGTACATTTTAGGTGCTAATATGTACATTTTAGGTGTTAATATGTACATCTTAGGGGCTAATGTCCATTTCAGGAGCCAATATGTCCATTTTAGGTCCTAATATGTACATTTTAAGTGTTATGTACATTTTAGGTGCTAATATATCCATGAGCTAATATGTACATTTTAGGTACTAATATGTACATTTTAGGTCCTAATATGTACATTTTAAGTGTTAATATGTACATTTAGGTGCTAATATGTCCATTACATGAGCTAATATGTACATTTTAGGTGTTAAGCACATTTTAGGTACTAATATGTACATTTTAAGTGTTAATATTTAGGTGCTAATATGTCCATTTCATTAACTAATATGTCCATTTTAGGTGGTAATATGTACATTTTAGGTGTTAAGTACATTTTAGGTACTAATATGTAAATTTGAGGTCCTAATATGTACATTAGGTGTTAATATGTACATTTAGGTGCTAATATGTCCATTTCATGAACTAATATGTCAATTTTAGGTGGTAATATGTCCATTTTAGGTACTAATATGTACATTTTAGGTGGTAATATGTACCACTAAGGTACCAATATGCAGCCTTTGGGTACAAAAGTGTA